CCAGAGGACCAAGGAAGACCAACAGAGGGGCAGCCGCGCCACTGTCCCAGAAAGAGCTGAGGAGAGTCCCAGATGACCTATGAACTTCTAACCCCTGCGAGTCAATCGTACAGTTTGAGCAGGAGCTGAATCGCGCGACTGAAAAAACCGCACAGTGTGAGACCGGCATAAGAAAGATGTTTTTATTCAAGATCCAAATGGTTTTGGGTGATTCTGCACTATTATGATTAGGCCCAGTGAGCAATAGTCTAGCTGTTGTCAAATTAGTAATGCTGTATGTGTGGTAAAGGAACAAAACAAAGCAAAACAAAAAAGAAAGAGAAGAAGAAGTCTGCATGAGATGTGCTGACCTCTATTCCATGTCTGTACCTCTTTTTGAAGCTTCTGAAGCTGTTCCTCCATGGTCTCAATCTCCTGCTTGTAATCCAGTATCTGATCACCTTTATCTTCCCTAGAAAACATATCAGCATCGCAAATGCAATTACACAGTTTTTCCAAAGGCTTTTTCTTTTCTTTTGACTTGTATCTGTGATAAAGTGGCAGATAGAAATATAATTAGAGTAGAAAACGCTGTAATATTCTAAAACTGTACAGGCGTTTAATAAGCTGTGTGCGCTGGATTATACCTGTGAGCATCTCATCTGATCCCGATTCATTGCTCAGGTTTGCAAATAATTTTCTCTGTCTTGACACTGACCTTTGTCACAACCTTTTAAGAATTGTCCTGACTTTTATCATCTCGAGCACACGCTGCACGCTCACGCAAACACACAGACTCACAGTTGTTGTTTAAGCCGGCGCAGTTTGGCCTTGCTGTCTGCCAGCTGGAGTAGCAGACCTTGGGATGACTCCTCATTGCGGCCAACCAAGTGGCCCGTCGTGGAATCAGACTGGGCCTCCCGCTCCCGACACAGCTCTGCTATCCTCTGGGAAGAAGAGGGAGAGAAAGATCAATGACGGATGTGGAAAAGGATACAAAGAACAGCTGAAAAGAAAGACGTGGGTTGAGGACTAAAGGCTCAGAAACACATTTCTGAGGATCTGTGAAGGTGAAAACAGTGAGCCGCACATGGCAACTAAATAAGTATGTGCTTCAGTAGATGCTAGCAAAGGTAAGATACTAGTGTTTTGCTGTGTATGCACTCTTTTTTTACAGAGGAAGGAGCTTGGGCTGCTGTGATGTCTTCAAATGTTTTAGACTGTTTGACGCTTTCTGATGTATAATTTAAGTCAGATCAGTGTAGCAGCAGAAAATTCACACAAGGGTTAAATGTAGCAGGTAGCTTTGCAAAGGGCATGTATTTTATAAACATTAATGCAGAATGACCTTTTTATTCCTGTAATTTTGCAAACCAGCACAGCAACAGAACATTCTGATCTTACGCAGTATTCACATAAAGGAGAGCACAGTGGGACAGGGTTTTATTAGGGCCGATTTAAATCTGTGGAATTTATTCGAAACAAAATTTAAGATCTTACGTTGCTTTGATCTCATATTAAGGTTGTAGGAAATGCCTTTTAATCCACTAGAAGCTTACGACAGATCTCAGTTAAATATCACTGGATTCAAGGATTGAGAATGTGTTTGAGATCAGAAGGCAGGAACATGAAGTGGAATCAGAGGTGCATTTAGAAAGGACTGTGGGGTCTTTGCTATTTCAAAGAAGCAAAGTTACTACGCTCCTTACACTAGTTTTTTTTTTTTTTTTAAAATACTGTAGTCTGTTATCTCCAGCCTAACAGCACGCATTTCATTTTCCAATTCATTGTTACTTAAATCACATTAAAACCTTTGACCACAATGCCATTTCAATCCCACTGCGCACTAACGTTTTATGAATTTTAATTAGTTCTTAGGGCGGTTCAGGAGAGATTTCACTGATACCACCTTTTGTTGGTTAAAAAGCAGAATTATTACAACTGTAGGAGGTAATCCATAGCTACAAAATGTCTGGGCGGCATCTGGTGTGAAATGTTGATGCAACTTGAAACAATGAAGGAACTGATTCACTTGCGGAAACTGATTTAGTTAATTAACTTTTAATTTCTTCAGGAAAACACATTTTCAATTTCCTTCTTGTCACGTCGGCGTGATTGAAAACATCATAAATGTCCAATTTCTTCATTTTCATTCATTACAGTTCTCCAGCAAAGAATCAAACAACGGACAATGATGGTAAATTCACTTTAAGGCACAATAACACTCACACTATGAAGTCCATACTCCCACCGCTTCCATCTGTCTGCACAGTTGAAGAGAGCAAAAGTGATGCAGTAATTTGGCGTTCTTTCCAATCAGCTATTATAGTCGTTATTAATTTATGTCTTATTTGCTTATTTGCCCACTTGCCTAGATTTAGATGAGCTGCTCAGCACTATCATGTCTGGTGTATGTAGCTACCAACAGCTGCCAGTTAGCCTAGAATAGCTCACAGAAACAGGAAGAACCGATGGCCTGACTCAGCTAAGGGGTTAAAAAATTGACCTACTTATCTCTTACTTGTTATCGTGTTTCATTATCAGAATAAAGGTTCTATACAACTCTTCCAAGCTACCTCCCAGTGCACGATCTAATAAATGCTCAACTTTAGGTAACCTTGGTACTAGTTACACCTTTTTAATGTAAACTGCAAACTGCCCCCAAACTAGAAATCTTAGAGCTTAATTATCTGATCTGTTTTCTGATTTTTGGGACTACTCGTTCCTTGTTCATTGCCTTGTTCTGTCGCGTCAGTCTGGATATCATGCTCTTGTGAAAGTTTCTTGGTTCCCTTTTTGTTGAAAGAAAAAATTAATCACAATCAGACTTCCTGTTTAAATTAAAAATGACGGTAGGCTTTGTGCTAGAATCATTTCGGGATGTGCTGCTTTGCAACTTCAGGAAGTCACAGATAATTTCACAGGTGCTGGAGGGAAGAATTAGTTATATTTATATTATAACAGACTGTTTAATTCCCCATGAGTTTCTATTTAGCCTAACAGCTACTGGCTGCTTCTTGAGATTGGTATCAATGCTGTCATTTATCTTTTGGTTAAAACAAAAGAGTTTTAAGTGTCAAGCTATTTCTTTAAGGCTTTGTGTATTGCATACCTCCAACTGTGTGTCTCTCTGTGCCAGCAGGCTTTGGATCTGTTTGGCCATGGAGCTAAACACCAGCTGCAAGTCTGCACCTTCAGTCTCCACTAGCTCCTCCCACTGAAGTGGCAGCACCACACGAGGATCCTGAGTTACCTGCAACGAGGACCATTTTTTAGGCCTCTATGACAAGATCAATACACATCTGGGACACCTGACACAAAACAGCCCGGGCACTGCGAGCGCTGTGTGAATACCAAGCATTTGTGTACAACGAAAAGGAAAAGAAAAATAAATTCTCACACGTCTATGTGTGAAAGCTGTAGAAAAAATGCACTAAAAAATTCACTAGTGCACGCAAAGCTAGTGATCATGTTGACAGGTTTAAAAATCTCCTCGGGTGTAAGCCATAGAGAAGGAAAGCAGGGGGCGCATCCATTCACACAGAAAGAGCACCTCTCACCTCTGTGATTTGTTAGGCTGAAAAACCTGGGGAGAAAAAGGCTGGGAGGCAGCATGCTGTTACTGTAATTCAGTCACGCTGCTATGCGAAATGTTGTTTTTGTAATTCCAGCAATTATTCATGGGGGGGGGTGTTTTTTAAAAGAGGCAATTTAGCCTTTATGCCTTATTGGAGCGGATGGTGGACAGTGACAGGAAAAAAGATGAAGGAGAGACAATGATGTGACAGAGGGGGGGGGATTGGAGAGGTGGACATGGGAGGTGGAGGATCCAGCTTACAGTGGCAGCAAGGGGCACCCAGAGGTCCTTAAGAGGCTGCCAACAGAATGACAAGTAGCTCATTTTCACAACTCAGTTGAAGCACAAGGAGAAAGTATAACCGTTTCATTCTGTCTGCCTACAGGCCAGACAGTGAAGGGACTCTTTGCTTAATCATGTTTGGGAACAAAACTCATCCAAGAATTTCTTGTTGTTTTTTAATGAGTGAGGGTTTGATTAATTCTGCACTTACTTACCTGCTGAATACAACCGGCAATGCCAGCCTGGGTTTCAATGTCCAGGGACTGGATCTGCTGAATGAAGGTTTCCTTATTCTCGCACTGTAGACACAGGAAGAGATGGAGTCAGGTGTGCATGTTAGATCAAAATACCAAAAACTGTGTTCATAGGTATTCCTGGAATTGGCCATGAGGGACGCTTATTAGAAAACAGCAGGGCAGTCTTTGGGTGGAGGACTCCTGGACGACTCTCCTTAGACTCAGACATTTTGTAAACTTGCACTGTTGAGCGGTCGGGCAAGATTATCACGCCACTTTAACGTGAAGCCTGAAATTGGCTCTCGTACAAGGTTGCCAGGGTAACACAATACAAGGCTAAGATTGATGCCAGCGGAAACTCTAATGAAACAAACAAAAAAAACAAATGGTATTTGAGCGCAATGATCCTGAGCTGAAATTAGAAAAGGAAATTAATCAAGTTCCTCTGGAATGAGTTTATACAAAAATAGTGCACAACAATCTGTCTTATTTTATCTTTTCCTAGAAGAATGTTTCCTTCAGGCCTTTCTGGTAAAGTTTAAACAACAAATCTGTGTAGTTAGCACCGAAAATATGAGAAAAATTAGTCCAAAGAGTTCAAGGTGTGCAGATATACACATTACTTTGAACTGATTTTGGAGGAAAGAACATGTAAAGTAAAGTGAAATTTATTGTGTCTGTCCTCCCTCTTTGTTTTTAAGTAACATGCACAATGCTGCTGTGGTCAGCTTTGACCAAAGCATGACGGTCATATGAGCGTGTGATCACCTGCACTGCACTTCCTAGTAAGAGTAGCAGCAGTCGCCTGAGCTCCTCCACGGCTGCCTCTGAGGACACAGAAATAACTGTCATCATCATCATTATCATCATCATCTTCACCCCCCCAGCACCCTTCTCCTTATCATTATCACCTTAATGTGCTTCACAGATAGCTGAGATATAGACTCGAACATAAAGTATAATTACTTTCTTCCTGCTGAGAGAGATTGGCACTGATAGGATCGTGTTGTTATCTTTATACCTGTTAGGGGGTCCTGGCCCAGAATGGCAACATTTGGGAGAGACATGAGTATCAACTGCTGCAAGTCTTCCTGAAAAGGAAAAGAAATGGAAAGAGTTCAGCACACACACACACACACACACACACACAAAAACACCTCAAGTAATCACCTGGAACGTCCTGTTCTTCTGCCCTCAGTTAGCCGAGATAAACAAAAGCGCAGGAACTTTCCACCAGTCGGCTCTGATTTGTTGTGTAAACAAATAAGAGATCCCTGATAAAACTGCATTGTTTTGTTCTTACAGGCTGGTAAGATTTTGTACAATTTTAGTTTAATATATTTCACAGCATCTTGTTCTCTGCTTATTCTCAATGTGTAACAGAATCAAAGAAAAACAATATGATGATAGCAGTGAATAAGAAACCTGCAGCTAAACCACTTAACACTACTGGCAACTACTGCTGACCTTTTGGGTATAACATATGGGTAATGTGGGTGATGTGACAGCAATGCAGACGCACTGACATAATCTCAAACAAGTGACGTCATAAACAACCAGAACAAATTACTTGGAGCGAATCAATCCAATTATTAGTACTTCCAACAAACCTGACTGGCACATGATCATAGCCATTATTCATTCACTTCAGCTTGTAACAGATATATTAGTATTAGTATTTACTCAGGAAGTCTTAACTATAATAAGTGTATATAAACATTTTTTTGTCAAAACTGACTTTTAACAGATTTAAGGAACCATCTCCTTAGTGGATCTGATATCGTCGTGTTGGTGTTGTTCCCAGATCATCATAAAAATGTTGTTCCAGGTTCAACATTGCAAGTGACCAATCACATTATTGTGACGTTATTCTTTTGCGCACCAACCCATTCGTGCATTTATGAAATTCCAATGTTGCAAGGACAATATCAATTCTGCTTAGTGTTTATTAAAGGGTTAGGGTTAGGGTCCGTTGATCGGTGGACAAAGGCGGTTTCTCGCAGCTTAAGTACAGTTTTTTGTTTTACGCCGGTTTTTCCCGAAGTCGCAAAAGTATGACATCACAACATTCTGATTGGTCACTTGCAATGTTGATCCTGGAACAACCTTTAGTATGATGATCTGGGAACAACACCAACACGAGGATATCAGATCGTGCCCATCTCCTTAGTGGATCTGCTATGACAGGACGAAACCAAATAGGTCCAGATCAATCACCGGAAACCGTTTACTGCTGGAAGCAGCTGCTTGTCTACATTTAGCAAAATCTTTATTACACAGACATGTTCAATTTCTTTCTAGGAAAAAAATCTAATCAGCCAATTACATGGAAGCAATTCAGTATATTTAGAGATGTAGACATGGCCAGAGAGGACCTTCTGAATTTCAAACCGAGCAGCAGAATGGGCTGATCTGAATATCCACAATCATCCTGCCTTGTATGAACAGTTCAGGCTGGTGGTGCCGTAATAGTGTGGAGAATTTTTTCATGTTCCCTGTAGTCAAATGGCGCCTACAGTCACCAGACCTCAATCAGATCTCAATCAGCTGCGCAGCTGACAACTCTGCAGCAACTGTGTGACGCTGTCATGTCAGTATGAACCAAAATCTCTCAAAGATGTTTTCAGCACCTTGTTGAATCTATGCCACAAAGAATTAAGGCAGCTATGGAGGTAATAGGGGATCCAACCCAATACTGATAAGGTGTACCTAATGAAGTGACAACTGAATGTACTTTCAAGAGAAATTTCAATAATTTTGAGTTGCTTTAATAAGAAGACAGCTTGGTTGGTTTTCTTGTTAACAACAATTCTGATCACAGAGTGTTAATAATCAATTTTTAGAAGTTTTGTTTCCAAAATATTTGTTTAATGTGTGTCCTTATTGTCTAGGAGATTGTCTAAGATTAACTACAATTCAACTGATCAAAGCTGGACTGTTGTTGCATGTTGTCATATTTCCTCTGCTGCTCTCACTGTTTTTTATTTATTTATGTATTTTTATTTCTCCACTGCCAAAAAGGGAAAACATTCCTAAAAAAAGACAACATCTTTTCATTGCTGTCTTGATTATCTCAGCTGAGGGACTGTGCATCTTACAGAAAAAAAAGAAAAATTTTGAATTCACTAAAGCCATTAAATCTCTGGCTCATCATTTTGGACATTTCCTGCATGGTCCAAAGTATTTTTAATGCTTTTCAAATTCAGGAGATTCGGGACGAGCAGAAGGCCCACCAACACTGTGTTCATCTTGTTTCAGCGAGTCGTAATTTCTGCTTTGAGCTCTTGGACAAATCCCCTGGCAGACTCAAATGACGCTGAATCAAGCTGGACCACAGACGCCTCAGACATTTCCCGTCCAGAAACCTGGCTTCTCTGGCAGCAGAAAGAAATATCTGTCATGTGACCCCACAGCGCCTCCCTCCTCCTACGTTGCCATCCAGTGCATCACTAGTGTAGAGGGTAACCATTGCTGTTACTTTGCCACTTAATTTAGTTGGTCTTAAACTTAAGAAAAAGAGAAAAAAAAGAGGAGAACAACTTCACCGTTAATTAAAAACATTTCTGTCAGAGAGCCACACGCTGTTGCTGGCTAGCTCCTTTCCCAACTGCTCAGAAAGCCTGTTCACAACCTCCTCACATCCATCAGCGCAAAATCACAAGAGTACAGATGTAAGTCACAATTACAGCTCTCTCAGCTGCTTACTGTAATCTATAAACTGTATGGGGAGAAAGGCAGGGACTCCCTTGAGCAACTGGCATGTGCAGCAAACCTTATGTTTCTGCTCCTTCAGGGCGTTCAGGATATTAGCCACAGTAGCTCTGAGTTGGTCTTCGTGCAGCTCGTGGCTGATGAAGCCAAACAGACTTCTGCAGGAGATTAGCCAGACTGATAATTATATAGAAGCTCCTTGTTGTTGTTGGCACAGTAATGTCTTTGCACGGGCAATTCCCTGCCGGGCAGTACGGCCAAGATACATACTGGGTTGTATTTGCTTGAATGCCTCCTGTACTTTATTTCATACATTATTATTTATAATGCAATACAAAAGAAAGAGGTCAAGAATATGAAAAATGTGCAGAGATTTCCAGGGCAGTCACACTCAAAGTTAATTTCTTAAGGAAGTAGATTTTTCCACTAAAGCAAACGCCCAAAAAAAAAAGGAATTAGCTATATGGAGCAGTTCTGAAACTGGGATAAAAGCATTCATCACACTGCTGGCTGCAGTTAAGAAGAGAATTAAGTTCCATCTGTAAGATCTTTTTCAAATCCTGTCTTTTTATTGTATATTGTTTGGATTGGTGTTGGCTTTAATTTTTGCCACAGACTTGCTTTTATTTATTTTCCCCCCTAATTTTAATTTTTTTGGCTTTATGCAAAAACAGATTAGTAGAGACATCATCTATTGGATGTTCGGCAGCCGTAAAAATGTCACGGTTTACCAAGGAGAGAGATCTTTAAAATGTGGAGGGTCAATAAATTAGTAGTCAAGAGAAATTAACATTTAAAATCCCATTAACAGAAAGCTGGAGAGCAAGTGTCTCATTCAGTGGCAGTAAATGGAGTTTAAAAAAGAAGAAGAAGAAGAATAGATTAAGAAAGACATAGGAGAACAGAATACAGTCAGCTAGAGTATAATACATTAGCATATAATGAAATTAAACCAGTAGAATAGAGCAGGATACATGCAGCATAGCACTCATAAATTTTACAGTAGGTTATATGAGTCCATACAGTAGACGTGCACAGCCTTCACTCTCCCCCCCACCCCACCCCCCACGTGTCGTCAACACAAATAACTCCGTTTCTATAGAAGACAAGCTGAGGTCACAGCAGATATCAAGCCCTGCCAAGCTGCACACTGTTTCTGTGGCTTAAGCTCTCCACACTCTTGCCATTGTATTGCACGCACTCTCTCACATAAACACACAGGCAGCATTAAACAGCGTAAAAAAATATTATAATAATTCAGTGAGAAGTAAAGCTGTGACTGATGTGGAACTAAATGTCTGCAGAGACACTGGAGCCTATTCTGAGCACACCTGCTGAAATTCTAGTGCAATGTCGGCTGATGTGAGCTTCTCAATTATTTGGCAGTGTTGCTGTGCTGCTAGGTGCTTTCAAGGGACATTAGTGATTCACTGAAAATTAGGAAGCGAAACCTCGTAGACTCGTGTTCTTCTGTTGTGTGACAAGCAAAACAGTGCATGTTCAGTCCACCTGACTCGTACTTCGGGATGGTTTCCTCGCTCAGAGCAGTAGCTTTCTGAATCATCCTCCGGGGGTTGGAGGAATTGTGTCATTTCCTCAAATGCCAACGGCGCATGTGAATGCACATTATGAAATGCATGATACTGTGGGCTATTTGATAGATTCTCAGTCTCCTTCCTTCCTCAACCTCTAACCACAGCAGCAGCTAAAAAATGCAGCTCGTCACTCCTCCACTTTTTCTCACCCCATTTGCCTGATAATAAGCAAGGACACGTCGACTGTGGATGGAATATTCTCTGTTTCATCTTTTCTCTTGTGCTAATATGCTGCCTCCCTGTGCATACACTTCAAATTTTCCACAATACCCCCAAGCAATATATTGCTAGTGTTAAGAGTGATAGTTGAGCCTCATCTTGTCCTCTGTTTTTACTACCTCACAGCTAGAAAACTGCTTCTCCGGCCCTCTGCCATCACCCCGTTTCCCTCGCCATTTGTGTGGCTGCGAGTCATGTTTTAGAAAGATATTCCAGCGCTTTCACAAGACCTTTTTTCTCGTAATGAGAAGCTGGGAGTCATTTTAGTCCATCCACAAAATAAGCCATCACACTAGTGTTTATGAAAACTTTTTTTGTTCTTGAAATTCTAGAGGAATGATTGGGGCCATTCAAGATAGGAGCTGGACCATTTACAAATGACCGTGCAGCCTGTATCACTGTGTCACACGTTTGCCTCGCTATCTAGGTGTAATGACTTGTCCTGCTGCTGAGATATTAATGCCACAGTTTGACAAGGTATCAAACCACCCAATTAAGCTTTGTTGAAGCATGTAGCTACAGAGATGAAACTTCCAGAAAAACAACTCAAAGAATTAGTTTTTGGGAAAAACATGTATTTATTTTCTTGCTGAGAGTCGGATGAGGCGATCGATACTGCTTTCATGTCTGCTTGCTAAAAGCTGCCGGGGTAAAGTTAGCACCAGAGTAGCATAGCATGAAAGAAAACAAGGTAAAGGTGAAAAAAGAAAGTACCAGCTCGTTAACTGACATATTCGATTTTCTTAATCCCTATGTGAAGACTGTTGCTTAGCTGGATGCTGAACTTTGAAAGCTTTATACAGCAAAAATAAGTATGTGTTAGTAAACTTAAATTGCAGCAAAGACAGGTTTCCAGCCACTGTGATGAGCTCAGCTAACCAACAGCTGCTTTATTGCGTCAAACTATCTTGCAATCAAAGTTGTTGCAATCATACATGCAACAACTATCTATTCAAACACAAACACGTTTAGAGTTAAGGTTCCTGATCTTTATAGCACATGTGATAGCACTGTTTTGGTGCTTATTCATAAAGAACCTAAGATTGCAAAATAAAAATAAATTCATACCGTTTCACAGCAAATGTCTTTTTTAGGCATTTACAGTTGCAAATCTTCTAACATTTTACCAGTTTAGATGAACTTTTATGCAACATTAGGAGGCTATACCATCCAGCTGCATCATCAGAATTTTGCAGTCATGCTTCTGCTGACCCGAGGCTTCCGCTAACACCTGAGGGAAATACCTGGTGCTCTAGATGTTAAATGCTCAGCTATGTTCACTGCCGAGTCTCTAACTGTGCCTGCTGTTTGAAGTTGAGCAGGTAGCGTATAAAGCCAGTTTATTAAAGCTTTCTGGCTGAAATCAGGTTCCTGTTGCCTCTGAAAACAGGCTAATAAAAAGCACAGTGAAGCAGAACGGTAAAGCTGTAGTAACAACGGGCGAAGAGACACTGTAGCTCGAGCGGCAGACGACAAACCTCACGGGGGTTCAGCACTGCAAGTGCTCATTTTTACATTGCAAGGAGCTGTTTGCTTTGTGGCAACCCAGCAGCGACTAATGAGCCAATATTTGAACAGTTTTGTCCAGATAATTATGTCCAGAGCTTCACGGAGAAGACCACGCGATGCAGGTGTGGGGTTTGCTTTTGTTTTCTGAATACTGTGCAAAAAGTATTCATCTGTCCAAGTTCTAAAACATAAAAAGTGCACAAAATGCAGTTACATAAAAATATGAGCTAAAAACGAAACTGTAGTTGCCCTCATAGCTTTCAAAAATTTCTTTCTTTATAACAGCCATGCCTGAATGGACTATACCATTAATGGGTTTCTTCTTGTTATAGTGGGAATGTGAAGCTCAGGAGAAGTCCTGTGCAGGCTCGGTTGCCTTTCAGTACATTGCCCTGATTTCCGTCTTGATGATTTGATCTAACAGAATCTCCACCAACCTCCCCTCATCCCCACCCCCCTCTCTCACCACCATCACCCTCCCCTACCTGGTAGAAGGCTCGCAGGTGTCGATTTAAAATAGAAAAATTCTGGACTCTCAGCATGTGGTCATCTCTCTCGCTGTTGTACAGCCGCTCCACCTTGGGGTTTGGATCTCTGGGTGGACACACACAAAAAAAACCACACACACACACGCACAATTACACACAGTGGTTTACACACTGCAGCTTGATCAAACAGCCCAGCAACATTTCTCTCCAGATGAGAAATTCTTATGCAACAGTGCATTTAAGCAGAGTGAATAAAATTTTAATGAGGTCTGAGAAGCAGGCAGTGAGAATCCACATGCAATTATTTGTTGAAATAATGTGGCTTAGGTCGGGCCAAATTAATCAGCCATTGAGCAAATCCTGCCTAAGATCTTGTCTTGCCAGTTAATAGACAAAAGGTTTTCTCCTGCTGAAACTTGAACACGAAGATAAGGGAATCAGTGGAGATGGCTTATAGGATGGCATGATTATAATTTGCTAGAAATTTCAGAACATTGTGCTTTAACACAAACACGCACTGCAAAACAACGTGAGGTTATGAAACCGAGTGTGATAAATGTTACATCACTTTTCATGCAAAAGAAAAAGAACAATACCAAGTGTTAGCACCTCTCTGATGCTGTGCTGTGGCACACCATAAAGCATAAGGGAAAATGTTTACCAGTTAGCATGATAGGGTTCTTAAATTACCATCAAACACAAAGTGAGGGTTGGTATTTTGGGAGATATCTGCGCATAAATCAAAGAAAAACTACAAAGTGGACGCGAAAAGTGATGGTGCCGCATTAAATATCACAAAATTAAGACTCACTCGAGTTTCTGTCCCTTGAGTCATGCTGTCAGTTAAACTAAGCTGAAGTATTTTAGTGCACAACATTAAACTGAGGGAATTATCTGCCTTTATTTAATAGCTGTATGGATGTAAAAGGGCTGGATGCAAATTCCACACTGCCAATACGTCCCAGTGGTCACTCAAAACACTGCGACAAAAAAAATAATCTACAGCCCTTTAATTATTCTCCTGTTGCCCTATTATATATTAATATAGTGTCCTCCTATTACACTTTCTATTATTAATGTGACTGTTTATTTGTTTACGTGACATCATTACAACGTACGAACTGTGCGGCCACGACCCAGAAGGAAACCAGGACATTAAAAAAGCTTCTGTGGTTCATGAACAGTGCAAGAACCATTATAGAAGCAGGCAAGACTTCCACGCATACAGATAAAGGTGTTGTTGATTTTTTCCAGTTGTCAGTAATGTTACTGCAACAAAAATCCATCCATCCAAACAGGCATTTTCTCCATATTTTAAAAAGAGAGGTGTAAAATTATTGGCGGGACACAGCTGCTCACAAGGTCACTTTGCACCCTTTTATTATCCCACACACTGTCCATCACCTTAACTCACTTCACTTAAGTTACATAAGCATCTCAATCACCAGGCCACCAGGGTGCCCAATTTCAGTGCTTTTTAATGGCTTTCACTCAAAAAGCAAAAAAAAAAAGCTGCCATGGAGTTTAAGCAAAGAATGGGTTGTGTGTACATTTCAGCGTTTGAGATTGCCAATAAAAGCCACAGGCACTTTTTTTTGCAACTAATTGCAAGGTTGAACGGTTTATATTTTCCATTTACAAATGAGAACATATGCTTTTATTATTTTACATTTATATTATTACATTTAAAAGCAGACTGACTGGGTAAAGTTTGCAAAAGTTTATCAAGTTATATTTTCCCCCTCTCTAATAGTCACGTTTATTGCAGCGTCCACGGCCAGGAAGTGGTGAAAGTGAGAAAATGTTGATGAATCTTACATGACCCTCATGACCTCGTTGAGGAAAATCCCATTGGTCAGCCTCAGGTAGCGGTCTCGGGCGCTCTGCGAAACAGAGTTCACTTCCATGTACTGGCTGTAGTGAGGTGCACCGTCCTCACTCTCTACCATATTCTCAAACAGCAGCACCTATGAGAGACAGATAGAGATGATCTTGTGTGGCGACCAAAGACAAGGAAGAAACGGCACAGGAGCAGAAAATAGACACAGAGATGGGCTAAGGGAAAATGTTCACACAGGAAGTCACTTGAGTCTGTGCACCTGTCCGAACAGGTGGGATCTGTGCGCTCACACTGGGAAGCACTTCACAGCGACAGCCAGCCAAGCAGGACTGCAGCCAAGGTTTCTCTCTCGCGCGCTTCTAAGACGACTTGTGCCAATGCAAACTGCAATATAATGAGTTTTATTCCCACCTGCACCTTCTAAAAACTGCACAGTAGGTAAACAAAGTAACGAGCCAGAGTTGGTCTCAGCTGATGAGGCGATACAGAGGAGACTGAGATGCGGAGGATAACAACTGGGTTGGGTGGCAGGGGATCCCTTCAGGGTGAAAAATCTCATGTCAGTGAAAAAATGACCCGCTGAAGTGCCCTCAAGAAAAAAAACAAACCTCTTCCAAGTCCTGTTGAACCTCACATCTGACCAGCCCCCTCTTTGGAAAGGGGAAACAACAGCCAATGAGAACATCCCTATAAGACTTAGTGATCACATTATCCAAGCAGAGATCATTAACCAGAAGGGGGAGACTCGACTTGCCATGTGGAAAACCCAGCTGGGAATTCAGTGTGTTACAGCTGTAGTTGGTTTTTAGAGAAAGCATACTCTATGTCTATTTTGAAATCAGAAGCAGCCCAAGGACACGGAAGTGTCAAAGCTGGGAGAGAAAAAGTTGGTTATTAAGAGGCGAGGGAAGCTGCCAAAAGGAGAAGTGTTTGCTTTTCTGTACACAACAGAAAAAAAAGGCAGGGTCGAGGCTGTTTGTGTTATTTATTCAAGTTTTATATGTAATCTGACGAACGGAGCTGGAAAACAGACTGGTCTAAAAGATTTCACAAGCTTTCTGACTTGAAATTATACAGACTTTACTACAGAGTTGGTCACCGGCTAAGTCGGATTTTGTATTTTTTTCCACACCGTTTTCCACCCTCCTGTTTTATTCTCACCTCTGCGCCTCTATAAATGATGACCTTTTCTCTAACTCAAAGTGATAAATGATAAATGACGTACCCATTGCGCCAACGCACTTTCCATGAATTCCTCTATTATCTCCTTAATGTTGGACTCCATTGTTGTGGCACGAGGGCTGTGAAACACTACAGAAGACAGCTAATTAAAGAATATCACCAACGCGGTGTATGTAATGAATCAGAGACAGAGAATCCATCTTGCGTCAAGTGAAGTAGTTTGACATTTGTGCGGCCCTTCCTCCCCTCCCTCTACCTCGTTTGCTGTCTCTTCCTCTCTGACTGCGTGTGTCAGTTAGTTTCATTGCAAAACCACACCGGAATTTTTCAAAACGCACATGTTGAGGGGTTGTTGTTTTTTTAAAACACAAACTCAAAACTTCACACAACACACACAAACACGGAAATATTTTTCTTGAGTGCCGCAAAACACTAGAGTGCAAAAAAGGGACATTGTAACTTCGCAGAGGTGAAATATTAGGCCTATTTCCTCCTCTGCGTATTTATGTGCACATTTACCTTAAATGTGTGTTTTTACGCCATTATTTGCCTCAGTATCGCCTTGTTTTGACCTTAGACATGACATGTTGATCTAATGTGTGTTAAAAATGAGAAGGCTTCCATTTGAAGTTGTCAGAGGTTTAGTATCTCTAACGTTCACCACGCGTTCAGCTGCGCTCCAAGCACTGTGCAATAGTGACCTCTGGTGCTTCAAAAGGAAAGTTCATGCTTTCACATATTATTAATTACATCATCAAAGGGGAAGTGAGCTTCCTTACTTTGAGCTAGCTGCTGTGTATAATGCATTGCAGTATTTTCCGTTCTATAGCTGGCTAAACCTGCGGTATAAGGCTTCATCTGTCAAGACTTGGCGGAGTGCAAGCAAATGGACAGGGGCGTTCCTAGGATTTCTTTAGGTGGGTTGAGCGAACGCAGAGCAGGGTGGGACCACAGGAAATATTTTTAAGCAGAAAATGAAACCATTAGTGCAGAAAACACGTGGCACAACTTTCAGGTCCATGTCCAGCCCTGTGTTCTACTTATTATGTGATTTATTACGTGAAAAGTGCTGCACAAGAATTTACATAACTTTTTTCTTTCTTTCTTTTTACTGGATATTTGTTTTGCAAAATGGAAAAACAGTAACTTAACTAAAAGTTAAGTAAAAACGTCCCTATTAGAAATTATATGCTGTATACTGTATAATGTTCTCATTATGTCTACTCTTCAGAGTCATGTAAATACTAGATATAAATGTTTGTTTCTTAAATGCTGCAGCTCGATGTGATTTTAATTACTTGTGTATTGCTGATCAATAACAGTAGCATGCTCAATAATCCAGGTAAGAAAATCGCAGAAAGCTCATTCTGTTCATCTGGACGTTGCCTTTTCAGGAGGAGAAACATTTCGTCAGTCATTCTAGTGAGTTCTGATCTTTCCTTATAAGGCTGGGGAAGGCAGGCAGCTGAGACTTAAATAGAGCAGAAGCAGAAAGTTTCACAACATAGAAAATACATAGAAATACTACTTCTGTAAAGTACTTGAGTAAATGTACTAAGTTACATTCCCATTGATCCTATCCATGCATCTCATCTGATGGTGGTGGGCGTTGTAGGACTTATAATACTCTAGTGCTTTTTCAGTTCTTTATTTATAAAGTGTCTGTTAAAATGATGGTGGTTGACTTTTTTTTGTTTGTTTCTTTATGTTTTATCATTATTCCCTGAAGTGGCTGTTACATTTTCGATCTCAAGCTGTATTTGTCAACGACACAAGATTTAGCCTGCTATAAAGAAGAGTGATGATTTGTTGTTCTTATTGTGCAATGCTTTATCAAAGCGTGACATGGAGAGTGGATGTGCATAATAGTAGATTCTTTCTGGGTTTTGCACACAGGCTTCAAAAAAAGATACCAAGGGAAAGATATCATTGAAAAGCTGTCAAAAGGAAGCTGTTAGAAGATGTATGTGATCTGAAGATATGTGTGAATCCTTATTATCATAGTTTCTGTACAGTCTCACCCTTAATGGTCCGCACAAGGCTTCTTCTTTATGTAATTAGGGAAATTTTATAAGGCCTGATGAGCAAAAGGCAAATTTTAGAAAATTCTTTCCATGTATTTTAATAATGTATTAATTTTATGATCCAATTTAAGATTTTATGACACACTTTCTTTGAAGGTCAGAGCTGAGAAATGGACTGTAACGCTTCCTTTGTTAATCTCTGCTACACTTTTTTTTTTTTTTTTTGAAAAAGAAAACATTTCTTTTTCTGCAGCCACTAAATGGATGCTTATATATTTGGAATCAAATAAGACATTCATGGAAAATAGTCTGTGATACAGTTTTATTTAGGAAGATTGAGCACACATTGGATATACCTGCAGCTTGGACAGATCACCATATTTGTATATATAAATATGTTTTGCCACAAAAAGGATTTATAGACTGTTAGTCTTTGTAAAATAGTTTCCAACATGTTGCATCAGTGTGCTGCTTATGCCAGAGTGTGTTCCCGTGTGCTGTCAGGGTGTGCTGACACTGCTTGTGCAGCAGTTCTCGGATTAACTGTGCCAGGATTATCAGATTGTTTCAGAGCTGCCAGAACAGACACGATGACAGCTTCATATAGGGCACCGCACACACATATGCACGCAAACACGCACACTTAATCCAACTCTCCTTGCTGGACTCAGATAACCCATTGTCATATTCAAACGTGCCTCTGTTTTAGGACATGTACAAAAAGAAGCCGACACTACAAAGCAGTTAAAAACTTCTACTTTTAATATATAATTCATGTGCATTGCCAGTTTAACAGGTTCCTAAGCATTTCATTGCAGATTAGTACAAACTACAGCCGTGGGAGTAATGTTACAGTGCACATGGGATGAACTTGTGAATCTGAGCCAAAAAATTGTTAAATATGTTTTCGTGTTTAAGCAAAACCTGTTTAAACTGACTTTTCTAGACACAACAAGATGTACTACACATCTCCTGAACAGATTCGTAGATGGTGACACATGCATGATGTCCTGCACAGAGGAGATGTTTCTTTGGTGTCTGTGCAGGGCTTGATAAGATTCCCTGTGTGTTGCCCTGTTTTGGCCATGTGCGAGGGAGCTGCAGCTGCTGCTTTTGGTGGTACATAAATCAAGCCTAATGTGTCAAAACCCAAATGGTGCCCTACTTGCCACCACCCAACTCACACAACCAAAACAAAAAAAAACAAGCACTGACACATCCTCCTCCCTTCCATCTCTTCCCCCTGAGCTTGTGTTTTTAAAAACATTTCTCCCTTTAGCTGGCAGGGGAGGGAGTAGGGGAGGCTGCCTTCTCCGTGGTGTTATCAGCTGGCTTCTCTGCGTCTTCAGCCCCGGGGGATCCTTCGGCGGCCGAGGGGTCAACCTGTGCAAACTTCAAGATGTCGAGGACATTCGCTTTAACATCCTCAAAGGTCTCCTTCACACCCTTCTCTAGGAGATAACCCACACTTTCACCCTCGGGGTCCTCTAAAGCTGTGGCTCCCTCCACAGCCGTCTGCAAGTACCTCAGGCTCACCAGCACTGACATCTGCAGAGAAAGAAGCAATAAAGATACTGTGAAATCAGGGTGTAAAATCTGTGCTCGCAGACAGCTTTTATCACAAAACGAGATGGTCAAAAGGTTTCGTAAGCTCACAAAAAAAAATGAATAGAGGCATCAACTTTAATAAATCACGTAATTTTAAAGCTGCTGGGTGATCACACTCTAAAGGGCTTTTATTCTGTACAGCTGAAGCTTGTGTGGATGTATTCTGACAGCTTGTACTGTGTTATATATGTGAGAGACAGTCATACACATGTTTTCTGATTTTGAATTCACTGTGGAAGTATTATCAGCATTATTAAATTTTCTTTCTTTAGGATTGTAACCATAAACATGATTTCACTCAAAATATTTACACTTATTTTGGATTGATGATGTTCATAAACCACATTGGGAGGGAATTATTATCTCAGAAGGCGTGTTGTGTTTATATTTACTTTTTTTAAAACTGGAGAAATCATGAGGTTTTTTTTTTATTACTTCCAACCTTCATATTGGGTTTTGCAATCTGAAGCTTCTTCAAAATCAAATCACCATAAAAGTTAAAAGTTAAATTAAATCTCTATATGATCATTTTTATATAGTCTCTTAGACATATTTTGTCCAGTTTGTTTCCCAAAAGTGTGAGATCCAGTTTTGACTGAAAATTTGCTGCAGTCTTCAGGACAACAATGTAGCGGTGATGCAGGAGTACAAAATATTTTTAGTATTATCTCATGCTCCCTCTATCTTTTTTTTTTGTCTGCTGTTCAGATTCAGAACAGGTTTTGTTAAAGTAATGTCTTAATACCTTGGGATGACAAAGTGGACTAGAAAAACCACGCCACTGGTCTGTTGCAGTTTAGACTGTGTGATTGGCTGGTTGGAGCGTATAACAGTGCTGTGTTGAACATATGAAAAAGCTTCCTGTTACAGGCTTAGTTTGGCTATTTAAACATGTGCTGTCAATGCTGGCATTTTGCAAAGGAATGAAAGTGCATGTTTGATTAAAAGTTGGAAATCAATGTAAACCAGTGAGCTTTTTCTTTCTGTCGGTTGTCATGGCAGTGTGTGCGTCACTAGACAGTCATCATTTAAAATTCTGTTTTTTTGCTTCTTCTTCCTTCTTTGTGTGTCTGTGTGTGTGCGTGTACAGAATAATTTCAGCGCTCCTTTCTGAACTCAAAGAAGAATTCTAGCATGACAATAATAACATATAACAGCTGTTTGGGTTTTCTTTTTATTATTCACCTGTATTAGGATGACTGACAGCACGCCAGGGCCAGTTGAATTCATCATCTCCATGTAGTAGTCGGTCAGAGCCTGCCTACAGCCACGGCTGTACAGGTTGAGCTCTTCTGCTTGGTAGTCGTAGCTGTAGTGAGCCCTGTTATCTGTCAGGTGGTACTGCAGGCAGGGGCGTGGGGAGGCCGGGTTACAGCAGCTGAAAGGAACGCCATCCAGCAGGAAACGGCCATCCACGTTACTCCTGATACGACTGTAAACAGATGAAGGAGAGAAAGCGTGAAAACCACGAAGAGTGACAGATTAAAAAACAGAGTCTAGTGAGACAAGAGCAAGAGGAAGAGAAGTGAGGAGATAAAGTCATCTTAAAACCAGTTAAAGGCCGACTTTTAGCTCAGAGCAGCCCCTCTATACAAGTGTCATCATGTCAC